TTGGTGTTGGCTGTTGGCAGGAGGTCTCAGTCCCCTGGAACGGGGACCTCTCCCTAGGGCTGTTTGAGCATCCTCACAACATGGCAGCCAGTTTCCCCCAGAACATGTGATCCAAATCCAAGAGAAAGCGAGGCAGAAACAGCAGTGCCCCTTATTACCTAGCCTCTGAAGTCACCTATCTTCACTTCCGCAGGTCTTATCCATTGTGCAGGTCAGCCCTATTTATGTGGGAGGGGACCACACAAAGCCATGAAATTTTGTCACCAAGGGGCAAGAATCACTCGGGGACATCTTTGAATCTGCTACCACAGCCCCCTTAAATGTAGCGCCATTGTATAGGAACAACCTGCACAACTGTAATTTTGTCACTGCTAAGAGTAGCCCTTGCCATAGACCTTCACCAACTTTGTATCAGGCCTGTACTAAGCATTTTTTTTTTTTTTTGAGACAAAGTCTCACTCTCTTGCGCAGGCTAGAGTGCCGTGGTGTCAGCCTAGCTCACAGCAACCTCAAACTCCTGGGCTCAAGTAATCTTTCTGCCTCAGCCTTCCAGGTAGCTGGGACTACAGGCATGCACTACCACGCCCGGCTAATTTTTTTATATATATATATATCAGTTGGCCAATTAATTTCTTTCTATTTTTAGTAGAGACGGGGTCTCGCTCTTGCTCAAGCTGGTTTCGAACTCCTGACCTTGAGCGATCCTCCCGACTCGGCCTCCCAGAGTGCTAGGATTACAGGCATGAGACCGGCCTGTGCTAAGCATTAAATGATAGTATCTGCCCTCAAGCAGCTTACAATCTAGCAGAGACAGCAAAACACACATACTTGTAGTTACAGTCAAATAAACGCCAGGGATCAGGAAGTGTTGAGGAGACTGAAGGAAGGAGAGGCTCAGTATCTGGACAGAGGGATGGGGCAAGGGTTGTCTGGATGGGACCTTGAAGGGTGGGTGAGATGTGGACCCCCAAGAAGTACAAGGAGCTCCGTGAGAGCAAAGGCATGGAGGCTGAGGGGAGGTGTATGTTTGGGAGTTGGGGAGGTGGGGTGCAGGGGTACATTTGGGACACATTGGAAGGGGCTGTTGTGGCCGCTCACCCCATCCAGGTGGCCGCCACTCACAGCTGTGCTTAGAAAGTGGGATGGGAAAGGCTGTGAGCCTCAGCCCCATTGTCTCCTCTCCCCTCCTCTCATCCCCCCGCAGGACTTTGCACAACCACCATCGCCAAGGTGGCCGCTTCCATGGAGCAGGGGAGGTCACCTGGGGAGCAAGCATGTGTCCTTCCAGGGGCCTGAGAGTATGTGACAAAGCCAGTAGCCTGGGCTGGGAGGTCTCCAGGCTCCAGCCACTGAGGCCAGCCCGGCCTGCCCTGGCTTGCTTGGCCCTCCCAGGAGGGCAGGGCCAGGCCACCCACCCCGCCTCCTCCACAAAAGCATCCCTGCCCACCTCTGAACCTGTGGTCTGGGCCACTCACTGGGCATTAGCAGAAACTCCTGGCCATTCTTGCTTAGCTTTGTGGCCAGAGGCAGGGGCTGGAGTTGGTTGTGGCCAGGGCTCAGGGCTCTGTGCTGTCACTCACTGTCTGTGCCATCATCTCTTTGTGCTTCATTTCTTAATTGTGAAAATGGGAATGGTGATGACAATAGACGTAAATCCTGTTGTGACGACCGAGTGGGCCTGCGGGCGAGGGTGCCCTGACTCCTGGGAAAGCCTTTGTTCAGGGCTGGAACTTGGCCTGAAGGGAGCAGGTGCTGGCCAGCGTGGCCCTGCCCTCACCTCCCCGTTCATCCCTTGGGTCCTGAGTGTCTCAAGCAGGGAGCTGGGGGCAAGGGAGTCTGGGACAGGTGTCCTCGGGTCCCCTTGCTCACTGCACAGAGGCTCACACTACACCTGACTACAAACTAAATGGGGCTCAGACTTGAGGTCTCCGCTCTAATCCAGGCCTCAGAAGGGCTGCCTGCTGGACCCGGCCCAGCTGCCCGCAGTCCGCCCTCTTGGGGCACGGCGGCCCCGACGTGCAGCCACGCAGGTGCGTCTGCATTCCCTCTGGCTCCCACCACTGCAGAGAAAGGAGGGAACCACTGAGAGCTTCTCTGCTCCTCTGGACAGTAGGAGGTGGCCTCAGAGCTCTCTGCAACACAGCCCGTTGAGACCTCGGCCTGGGGACGAGAGAGAAGGGGGGGCATCCATCAGCTGGCCCTACACAGGCCCTTAGGGAGATCTGGGTAGCCGGTCCATCTGAGCCCCCAGAGAAATGCAGAAGCAGAATGAATGGTTTGTCGACAGAAAACAACCATGTTCAATGGGGCCACTCAGAACAGAAGCTGGCCCCTCAGGGCAAAGGCACCAGGGGGGTGCCCACTCAGTGTTGCTGTTCCCACAGCCTGTGACACTGTTCCCCATATCTTCCCAGGGCCGGATCCTTATCTTCCAGGCCTCAGCTCAAATGATGCTTCCTCAAGGAAGCCTCCCCGGACCACTCTGGGCACCGCAGTTCCCTCCTCCCCTCCCCTATGCTTTATGCCCTGGGGTAGATAGACAGGTGACAGATAGAGATGGGGGAGATTGACAGGTTGATGTAGGTTGTTTCCTGTCATTTTCTTTTTTAAAATTAAACTCTTTATTTTGAGATAATTACCGATTCATATGCAGTTGTAAGAGATGATGCAAAGACATCCAGGGTACCCTTCCTCGGTTTCCTCCAATGGTAGCATATTGCAAAACCATAGCACGATATCAACCAGGACATTGACATTGATACAGTCCACATCCAGAACATTCCCATTACCACAAGGACCCCTCCTGTTGCCCTTTTATAACCTCGGCCACTTCCCTCCCACTCCAGGCCCCTCCTCAGTCCCTGGCTACCACTCATCTGTTCTCCATTTCTGGAACTTTGTCACTAAGAATGTCATATAAATGGAATCAGATAGTATATCACCCACTGCGATTGGCTTTTCTCACTCAGCATAATTCCCAAGAGATTCATCCAGGTTGTTGCTAGTGTCAAGAGTCCGTTCCTTTTGATTGCTGAGTCGTATTCCATGCTATGGAAGAATGTGTGGGTTGCTTCTAGTTACTGACTATTATGCATAAAGTGGCCATGACCATTTGTGTACAGGCTTTTGTGTGGACTTAAGTTATCATTTCTCTGGGGTAAATGCTCAAGAACACAATTGCTGCAACATATGGTAGTTGCTTGCACATTTAGTTTATTAAGAAACTGCCGAATCTTTTTCCAGAGCAGCTGTGCCATTGTACATTCATACACCAGCCACACACAAGTGATCTGTTTCTCCACATCCTCACCAGCATTTGGTGTTGTCACTGTTTGTGTGTTTTAGCCACTCTAAAAGGATGTAATGAGATCTCATTATAGTTTTCATTTGCATTTCCCTCATGGCTAATGATGTTGAACATCTTTTCAGATAACGTGGCTTCTTTGCTGTCTGTGTACTCTCTTTGATGACCTTTGCTAGATTTTAATCAGTCGTCATGTCCCCTTAAGCTCCATTAGAGCAAGGGCCTTCTTGGTTTGTTCTCTGTGTGTCTCCAGAGTCCATCCCAGTGCCTGGCACACGGGGAACACCCAATAATATTTAGGGAATGAATGCAGACTGTGGGGTGTCCGGACCTTTGAAAGATGAGAAGGTGGAAACACAACAAGGCCTTAGCTCTGGGAAACCTCCAGAGCACCTGGCCAGGCGGGTGTGCTCGGGAAGGCCCAGGCTGCTCCATGACAAAGGAGAAGGCAAGCGGGGAGGAGCACCCATCACCCTGCATGCTCTGGGGCCCCCACACTGCAGCACACGTTGTGGGCCTGGCCCTCCTCACCCCTCCCCTGCCTCTGCCCAGTCCAGAAGATAAATGTGTGAGGACCGCCCCCCACCAGCTCTGCCCACTGAAGTGCAGGGCTTCCGGGTTCTGTTTTACTTTTTGTTTTCTCCCCACTGTAATTGTATCACAATAAGGGTGAGGCCTTTGCAAGGGTATATCCACGGGCCACGTTCAAGCTTTGCCATAAGGAGAAGGACCCTACATACTCGGGCAGGTTTACCCAAGGTTTACCCAGGGCCACTATGTTCACTTGGACAGGGAGTTGTGCTTCCTGAAAGGGACACTTCCTGAAAGGAAGGGACAGTTGTCCTGTATGCTGCCCCAGTTTCTCTTGGTGGCTACCACTGGCCACACTTCACGTATAACATACATAATGATAAGTTGTCTGAGAAGAGGCTTCTCCCCACAGGGGTTTCTATTTTCATGAGGGTAACAGAACATAAATATAACAAATTAACTAACAATGCACTTGGATTTGTGTTTAATGAATTTAAATGTTTATTTATATGCACATATAGGAAGTTAGTATTTTAAATAAACATCAAGAATTGCAAATGAAAGGAAACTTCATCAACTAAGATGAACCAAGGAGTAAGGTCAGTAGGCAAAACATGAGTATGCCACAAGAGTCCTATTCACGGGCTGAAGATGGGCCGCAAAATTAGTTTTGAGCTTCCTAGCAGCCAGTACAATGTGTGAGTCTGTGACAGAGTCAGAGGATCTGTGAAACCAGCTAGAGCATTTTCTCAGCACAAGCACCGAGTGGTCCTTGACCTGCAGCAGTTGTGCAAGTAAAGGGTGGGGACTGTCCTTGTAGCACAGGGAAGAGTTAGGTTCCCCGTGGCTGTCCGTCATGGTATATTCTGCAACTGCACATCAACTAAGTGGAATTCAGTGATCTCAAGCCCGCGAGAAGCCCCTACAGCCTTTACTAAGTAGCTGACGCCAGCTGCCCATGAGGAGCCTAATTCCAAGGATCTTAGGGGTCCAGGGAAGGGAGCCCAGTGGCCCAGTGAAAAGCCCCAGCTTGTGTCCTGGGCTGTGAATGGCAGGTGAAACCAGGCAAAGCCGCAAGGTAGGAGGACCGGCCTCAAAGTGCAGGAAAGCCCTCGTGCCAAGGGGCCATGCTCACTAACCAGTCTCCCTCTCTGTGTGTCCGCAGGGCTCTGGCTGAGAACATGGCCAATGGCATTGACGAGCTCATCGGCATTCCCTTCCCCAACCACAGCAGCGAGGTCCTGTGCAGCCTCAACGAGCAGCGGCACGATGGCCTGCTCTGCGACGTGCTGCTGGTGGTGCAGGAGCAGGAGTACCGCACCCACCGCTCCGTCCTGGCCGCCTGCAGCAAGTACTTCAAGAAGCTGTTCACGGCCGGCACCCTAGCCAGCCAGCCCTACGTGTACGAGATCGACTTTGTCCAGCCCGAGGCTCTGGCCGCCATCCTGGAGTTCGCCTACACCTCCACGCTCACCATCACCGCCAGCAACGTCAAGCACATCCTCAACGCCGCCCGGATGCTGGAGATCCAGTGCATCGTGAACGTGTGCCTGGAGATCATGGAGCCTGGGGGGGACGGGGGGGAGGAGGACGACAAGGAGGACGACGACGACGACGAAGACGACGACGACGAGGAGGACGAGGAGGAGGAAGAGGAGGAGGAAGAGGAGGATGACGACGATGACACGGAGGATTTTGCTGACCAGGAAAACTTGCCTGACCCCCAGGACATCAACTGCCACCAAAGCCCTTCCAAGACGGACCATCTCACGGAGAAGGCCTATTCAGACACACCCAGGGACTTCCCCGATCCCTTCCAGGCCGGCAGTCCTGGCCATCTGGGCGTGATCCGGGACTTCTCCATCGAATCTCTGCTGAGGGAGAACCTGTACCCCAAAGCCAACATCCCCGACAGGAGACCCTCCCTGTCTCCGTTCGCCCCGGACTTCTTCCCACACCTCTGGCCGGGGGACTTCGGTGCCTTCGCCCAGCTGCCCGAGCAGCCCATGGACAGTGGGCCACTGGATCTGGTCATCAAAAACCGGAAGATCAAGGAGGAGGAGAAGGAGGAGCTGCCCCCACCCCCACCGCCGCCCTTCCCTAGCGACTTCTTCAAGGACATGTTCCCTGACCTGCCCGGGGGGCCTCTGGGCCCCATCAAGGCGGAGAACGACTACGGTGCCTATCTCAACTTCCTGAGTGCCACCCACCTGGGCAGCCTCTTCCCACCCTGGCCGCTGGTGGAGGAGCGAAAGCTGAAGCCCAAGGCCTCTCAGCAGTGCCCCATCTGCCACAAAGTCATCATGGGGGCCGGGAAGCTGCCGCGGCACATGAGGACCCACACCGGGGAGAAGCCATACATGTGCAACATCTGCGAGGTCCGCTTCACCAGGTGCGCATCCGCAGCCCCGGGGTGGGGACGGGGGTGCGGGGGACAGGGCCAGAGGCCGTGGGGTGCCAGCAGAGAGGGACACAGAGGGCCGGGATGGAGACAGAGAGACCCAGCTGGATCCCAAACACATGTCAGGCTCATTGGGCAGCATTAGGCATCACCTTGTGCGGTGACTTTCAAACTCTTTGGGGGTTAAAGTATTTCTCAAACACAATATTAAGCAGCAGCCCAAGACATGAAACAGGCAAGGGTAAAGCTGTTCTGGTTTGGAGGGAAGTGAGGGGCCTTAGCACCTTGCAGGTTTGGCTCCCCCCTCTCCTTCCCCCTCTGTAAATCCAGGGAACCCCGTCTGAGTGCCCCAGTGCAGGGCCACCCCTTCATTTTATTTGGAGAAGCAGCCGCTGCCCTTTCTTAAGCATGTTCTGCCTGCCAGGGCATGTCCCGAGTGATTACGTGTACTGTCACCCCAGCCATGCCCTGGGAAGATGGGGGGACACTATGGCCTCCATGTACAATCCGCCTCTGCTGGCTGGCTGGCCGCGTGTCAGCGTGGTTAGAAAACGGCAGGAAGGGGACTTGAATCCTCGGCCACGTGCTGACAGCAGGGTCTGTGGCCAGGAGACTGCAGAGACTCCTGTCAGCTCTTTCAATCATTTTTGGGTCAGACCTAAGGGATGGGCCTGTCTATGTTCTCCCCTTCGCCTTTCCTTGTTAGGGAGAGGAATCACTCTATGCTGTTATAAAATTTGGAGTTTGAAATCAATACATTATTAACCTTTCATCTTTCATAGACTCCATCCCATTCAGCAAATGTGTGTCAGGTGCCTTCTCTGCACAGCCACTCTTGCAGTCAAACCTGACTGGTGGGGTGACGTGGGGTCACATCTGTCCCCAGCCGGGGTACATTTTTGGAAAATAGGGCCTGTGGGTGCCATTTGTGGTCCCTGGAGCAAGGCTGAGGGTGGCTCGGTCATCTCAGTGTGTCACTTGTGCACAGTGCCTGGCCATACCCGTCCATGACCATGACCTATGAGACGAGGTCCCTCCCTAACACTGCCCCTACCCCCCTCAAAGAACCTCCCTTGAGTGGCCCACGCTTATCCTAGTGGCCCGGCCGGCGCCCCACACCCTCGTGGGGATGTATCGTTGGGAATTACTGGAGACACATTCTTTTGATTTTTCTCAGTGGGCCCAAGGCTTTGCACCGAGGATGGAGTGAAACTTTTTGAATCAGGCTGGATATCAAATCAGGGACTGTGCTTTTCCAGGGGTGAGAAAACAAGGAGAGTCCTATAATGTAGTGAGACCCGCTCTCTTGGGTGGCTTGGAAGCTCTATTTGAAGTTGCCAGAGAAGGGTTTCAGAAATACGCTCGTGACAGTGGCATCGCTGAAATAGCTCTGCAGGCTCCTCTGGTGACTGCTTTGAAGGACAACACTGATGGCTTCCAGGTGGCTGCTTCAGTGAGGGAAACCCCAAACAGAATCTATCCCAGGTGCTTCCGGGGCCAGCTGGGGAGAATCTTCCAGGCAGAGGGGCAGGCCCACACACCCAGGTGTGTCCCCTGCCCCCTACCTGCTGACCACCCCAGCTTCCCACAGTGCTGGCCTCCGGGAGCTCTGCTCCTGTTACCCCACAGAGCAGCTGGACCCAAAGTCCCCGAGATTCACCCCCTCGGTGCCCCTCCAGGACAGCCGGCCAGCCTGATGCAACGTGGGTGATGCCACCCTGCCACCTTGGCCCCCAGAGCTGGCTGGAGCACCTGAGCAGAGCCTGACAAAAGCCCAGGGGTGACAGAGACAGCCCAATACACACACCACACCGTTTACGAGTCTTCAGCGGGCCTGGCTCCAGCCCCGACTCCGGCACCCTGAAGGGGACTCCAAAGATGCAGGAAGCTCTTCACAGGCCAGCCAGCCCGGAATCAGCCCGAAGCGCCCCTCTGCCAGTACAGGCTCCACCGCCCATTCCTATCCCCTTGGCAGATGGCTGGCCTCTCCTTCCAGGGGAGCCCCAGGCTGGTGACTTCAGTGGGATGCAAGTCTCAGGGCACCAGTACGGCACAGCGAGCCCTCCCAGCACCCCCAGTCCCCATCTCCCTTCCTTCCCCACCCCTCCCCCTGGCACTTTGCCAGGCACAGCCTTCCGTGAGGCCCACGCCAGGTCTGGCCGGTCTGGGGGCCCTGCCTTCCTCGTTCAGTCACTGCAGACAGACTTCTGGGCCCCTGGACACGGGAACATTCTCCAGGAGTAGGCCTCCTGGTGTGCGCAGCGATGCTGTGCTGCATAGGAGGGTGGCATTCCAGAATCTTCCCTCCCAGCACATTCCTGGTGGTCACTTGGGGTGGCCTCTGTGTCTTCAGTCCCCCCTCCAGGCCAGATCAGCAGTGGGGCAGCCGAGGCCATCCAGCCATCTGCCCTGCCCTCCCCAGTCCCTCCTGCTGGCAGAATGACAGCCATCTGGCCCCAGGCCTGTCTCCGGCCAAGCAGCTGCATTCCAGCCCCATCAGCACCTCCCCTGGCTGGTTCCCACCAGCTCTGACCCTCCTGAAAAAGATCAGACAAGCCTTGGGTCCCCCTCTTCCCAGGAGGGGTGGAGGAGGTTGCTCAGGCCTGTCTCCCTTCAGGGACTTTATTGCTCAGAGCAATCAGGGATGTCTGTGTGGGACACTCCCCGCCTCTCCCCACACATTCTTCAGAGCCACTGGCCCTTTGCTTCCCGCCCCCTCCCCAGAGCTGCCCTGCCAGGGTTCTTTTCTGTGCTTGAAGAGCCCCGAGCCTGGCCCATCCAGGCTGGGGTTCTCCTGTAATTCTCTCTGCAGCCAAGTCCCCTTTCCATGGGGACCTTCTTTTTGGAGGAATTCCCCCAACCACGATCCATACCCTCCCTCCCACCTGGAGGCTCTTTGGCGGCCACTTAAAGCAGCGCTGGCTGCTTCCTTGACCTAGAACTCCCAGGCTCCCTTAGGAGGCCACACCACTTCCTGAGACTGGGCCCTGCAGTGTCCCTCTCGCTGCCCCCCACCAGAGGCGAAGCGGGACCGGCCACACTGCCCTCAAGCCCTCCCACTGGACACGGTTTCCCCTTCTGGAGCCTGAGTCTCTCTGTAGTCGCAGCTGAGCTTCTGCCCTCTGCCTGCCCTTTTCTCCTCCCTCCCCGAAGCTGGGGAGAGCTCAGGGTCTGGCAGGGACCACCCTTCCCCTGCATGGGGCCCATTGGGCTAGGCTCTGAGCTATAGCCTCCCAGGTGCCACCTGCCAGAGTGTCCACACTCCATGAGGACTCCAATCCTAATGACTTCAGCAGCCACAGCCAAGGCGGAGGGCTGTGGGAGTCCTTCCAACGGAGCCCCTCCACCCTAAGTCCCTGCCTGCTGCTGTCGTCCTGTGCTCTCTGCGAGGAGGGACAGAGGCCTCCCCACGCTGCTCTTGTCTGTTCTTTGGTGTCAGGAACCTCTCCTCTGAGTCAGCTCTAGATTTCAGCCAGTCTCACCAGTTGTCCCCCACTGACCTGTTCCAGCCATGAAATACACCCAGGCAGGGCCTCAAGGGCTTCAGCCAACCCGTGCTGTCCCCTTCTACCTCGGGTCACCCCATAATCACTTGGGCTCTGAGTCCTCTGAGTCCCTCTGCCTCTATCTGTGTTGACACTCCCTTGGCTTAGCCTAAGGGCACTGTTTTCCTCCTGTGCCAGCCACAAAGAGACAGCTCCTGACCCTTTCAGGTGTGACGGGAGGAGAGGAGCAGTTCCAGGGCATGGGGCAGAGGCAGACTGCTCCAAGGTTACACCAGGCCCTATTCAGCAGGGCCCCTTTACCTCCTGTCCCCAGAGAGCCTGGGAGCCAGGGCCAAAGGCAAGGACTGTAGGGTTCTGCCCAGGTGACACCTAGGACAGGCCTTAAGGAACAGGAACCATGTGATCCAGGGAAGATCAGAAGGCATTTGTCCTCGTGCAGAGGGACACTGCTGTGCACACAGATATCACAGGTGGCCCCTGCACACCTGGTTGCCCCGAGTGCAGCCATCACTGCTGACTGGGGCTGGGCCTGGGTCCTATGAAGGCCTCGGAGTCTCCCTCCTCTTAACTCCCGCCACGTGGGTCTTGCCTCCTCCCTCCCCCCCTCCGCCAGGGCCCTTCCACCGGGGAGTCCCTAGACGCCGCAGCCGGCCAGGCTCCCTCCTGCAGCCCCTGCTCCAGCCGCAGCCTAGCTCCCGAGCATGCCCAGCCACGTCTGATGGGGCAAGTGCTGAGGGTGAGAAACTGCAAGATGAGAAGAGACTGCCCCCAAAGACAACAGATGGGGGACATGCCAGCCTGGGAAGGGCTGGACAACCTCCGTGCCCTAGAAGTGGCTCTCTGACAAGCTGTGCTTTCACCAGCCCCTGCTGAGTCCCTCTCAAACTCCAAAGGCTACAACTTTTCCTCCCCCACCCACCTCCAGTGACAGCTGTCTGCTCTCCAGGGCCAGGAGCCCGCCTTTCGCTTCCCCTCTATTTTCTTTCAGTCCTCCCACTCAGGACGGCTCTGGGAACCTTGTTAAGATAATGTAATGTCATTAGCAGCGGTAGCAGGAAGAGTTTGTCTCAGACCGTCAGGTTACAGGAAGTGTGGGAGGGCGCTGCTGGGAAGGCATCATCCTGGTTGGGAGCTGTCCTGGAGGCCGGGGACCTCAGGCCCAGGCCACAGCCCTCTCTGATTCAGGGAATGAGCTCATGGGGACTCGCAGCGTCTTTGCCGAGCAGGAGCTCTCCGAGCTGGGAGGGGGAATGTAGACCCAGGCTTGCATGCCTGTGACCTTGGCTGGGCCCCCCATGCGGGGAAATGGAACGGGATGGCAGACCAGGGGACCAGGCCCAGAGAGGGGCATGTCGGATTTGGAGTTGGGGGTCTGAATTGGCCCCGCCAGCCTGGCAGCGAACACACGCTGAGCACGCTCTGCACCTACGTTCAGCGCCGCGCATGCGCAGAGTATGAAAGAGCGTCTGGCAGGTTCTCACCAAG